AGCTGGTGCTTTGTAGATGTCGGTTGATGAGTCCAGCGCTGCCCCACCCCCCCCCCCCCCCCCCCCCCCCCGAGGATGTCTTGAACACTCAAGGCATGTGGTATTATTAATCCTCCACATAAATAACTGACTGAATGTCAGACCTTAATGTGACACTTTGACTTTTTGAATTGAATCAGTTTTTTCTCTGTTAAGTTATTTTGTGGGCGAGGGGGATCCCATGCATCACCGCTGCACTCAACAACAACTACCAATGTTAATATTAATCATGGCAAGCTAGGATACTGCTATTGCTGGCAGATAGGCTCAGCAAGGCCTCGATGTGATTCTTCACTCCAGTTCAGTAACATTAAACCAGAATTAACCACCTGGGGTCAGCACAACAAGCTGTAGCTGTAAACAGTACACTGACACACTATGACGCTTAAATCGTAGTGAATGTGTGAGCACACAGCACACACGGAGGAGCATTAGAGCAACATTATCTCAAGAGTTGTGCTTGTGTTTCCTACAACTCCTGAGGGAAATATCTGGTTATTCAGCAGCTAAATACTTCACCATGTTCACCAGCTAGCTGCAAACTGTGACAGTCTGCTGTTTGTAGCTGAGCAGGTCGTCTACAGCTCGGCTTTTTCACTGTGAAGTTGTGTGGGTCATAAAACCAAAACAAGCTGAGCTGAAAGTTGCTAAACTGCAGAGTTAGGAGATAATTCTCAGTGGTTTCATCACTTCGAGTCACACCTCTCACATTACATATAATCATTTTAACCCATGAATCGGGCATTAAACACCTGCATTGCTAGTCTGAGAGCCATTTACTCACAATAACTAGTTTAGTATTCCTCATTGAGAGACCTTGCTTTGTGCAGCACATGACTGTTACATTAGTTGGTGTTGATATCATTGTGCCAATGAAGAATGTCCTTTTCAGTCTACATGACCGCAAACACTGCAGCTTCACTCAACATCCTGGGTACCTGCCAAGCCAGCGCACACACACACACACACACTCACTCACTCACTCACTCACTCACTCACTCACTCATGAAGGTGGCTAGACTGTAGTGTGCTCAGGGCTGTCTTTGCCTCTGCCAGCAGATGAGTTATTGGGGGAGTTCTTCAGTGCTGATTAGATTTGGGCTTATGAATCAGCCTTAGCTGGATTGCACTGGTTTTTACTCCCATTCACTTTTTTTGTTGTTGCTCACTATCAGCTGTGTCCCTGACACAAACGTTTTTCAAAGTATTCTCAACTCCTACCATTTCCACAAGATCAGTCCTTAGCCTCAGCGAGGGTGCATTTTGTAGAGGTCCGCCTCAAAATCGTGTTTGCAACTTACTCTCTCTTCCTCTGTCTTTTCCACCCTCTCTTCCCGTCGTCATCCACAGCTGAGCGCTTCAGGTCTTCTGGGGAATGCCGAGCTGAGCGTTGGCTCGGCCATCGCTTGTTTTCTAGCGCAGGAAGGGGCCGACGTCAACTACGCCAACCACAAGGGAAAGAGTCCCCTGGACCTGGTGGCGGACAGCACCATGCTGCAGCTCATCAAGAGCTTCTCTGAGAAACACAGGTACGTGTCTGGAAAAGCAGGGCTGACATCCATAATGCCTTTGGGTAATGCTACTAAATATGTTGGACTGTTAAACCAAAGAGTAGTATTTGTATGACCATGTTCAGACTGTCTTTTTACATGCAGATTAACTATGAATTTAAAGATGAAGATAAATCGGCTGCTACAGGAAACAAAAGTGTTATGTGGGAATCACTTTAGAGATTAAAAAAACAACAACTGCACTTTTAGTTTTTGTGCGTAACAGCTGTGTGTTGCCTCTCAGGTTGCAGCGTCTGCAGGCCATCACATGTGGGCAGGGCCTGAGCAGCGCCAGCCTGCGGCGGGTCCACACTACGCCAAACACCATGACCAACCTGGTTCTTCCCACGCCGCCGGGGCCCAGCGAATGCCTCATCTGCTCCGAGCTAGCTCTGCTGGTTCTCTTCTGCCCCTGCCAGCACAGCGTGGCCTGTGAAGGTGGGTGGAGACTGGAGTCAGTGGAGGACTCGGTGATGATGAAGCCAATGGCAGCAAAGGGCCGCACGGTTATCGATAGGCAGATTATGGTTTTGTGTGTTAAGAGAACAAACATAGAGAGTGGCCTTTTTTCATATTTAAAAACAATCTCTAAATATGTCTCTACGGTTTGCTTCACTTGTATTCTCTTTGAATGCACTCTGTGTCTCCGTGCTGACGTGGTTCTTGTTCTAAACAGAGTGTGCCCATCGAATGAAGAAATGCATCAAATGCCAAGTCACCATCACCAAGAAAATTAGACAAGGTAAGAATAATCCTCTTGTTCTTGTTATCTGGTTTATGTTAATAGGAAAATTATATAATGGAACATTTTCAGACAAAACAATGTCTGAAACAAAAAAATTGTCCTTGTAATGTTGATTTAACAACTTTTATATTTGTATTTTTTTAAATACAGCAAACTATTTTTATATTGTAATTTATAATCTGCTTGTACTGTATGTTTCTTTTTTTAAAACCAGGTTTAAATTGTGCATTAATTTACGATTTTTTTAATGATTTTAAAGTCACATATACAATATGCATTTTTGGTGTGGACATCCAGAGGAGAGGATCTGTCTGTATTAGCAGTGATCGCTAGTCTTGAGGCGTCAGTGCTATTCATGCTATATCCATTATCAGATGCTGTAGTATAAAGCCTAATTATTTTCTAACCAGTCGTACGGTGGATCAGTAGGACAGTCCCATCTTGCGTAGCATCAGGAGCCAATAACCTGTAGATATTGCCTAAGTCTGTTAACTCGGTTCCTCATTGCTTTGAAATCATCCGTGTTGATGACACAGACCAAACAGAGGTGGACTGCAGCCCCGGCACCGAGAACTCGGAGCAGCACAACCTGCTGGAGCAGCTGCAGTCTCGCTACCGCCAGATGGAGGAGCGCATCACCTGCCCCATCTGCATCGACAACCACATCAAGCTGGTCTTCCAGTGCGGACACGCCTCCTGCATCGACTGCAGCGCCGCGCTCAAGGCCTGCCCGATCTGCCGGCAGACCATCCGCGAGCGCATCCAGTTATTCGTCTGAGCTCCTCTGTCATCTCAGCTCTTAACAACCCAAAGAGGATGTCCGGG